TTAAATTGCACAGGAGTAGTAGTTAATTAGAATCCAAACAAGTAGCGCTGCTTCTGCGCGCGCAGTAAACACAACTGGTACACCAGCCTAGCCTCCGACTTCATTACTTATGTCTCCCGATAATTTTGGCGTGCATGTGTTCTGCAAAAGATCCGAGGATTACCTAAATTCATGTGCAAGTGTGTTGTCTGTACATGGAGTTTTTAGTTATCCAGGTAGGAGAAGCGATTAACTATTCCGTAACCCGAACCAACGCCTTAGTTGTTAAAACCGTTACCAGCAAAGGTGTGAGGCGATTAGCATCTGTCACGAACCGTCGAGAGCTGCTAACAAGAGTTTTGAGTATCAACAAACTACCTATGGCACCGGAACAGTACGAGTATAGCAGTAAAGGGACCATGAACCGTTTCCTGAAGCATCCGACTCGTTGCTGATCGCGAACCCAGTCGACAGCCAGGTGGTTCAAATACCTTCTTAATGTTCGATGGTAGTCCACAAGGAAGCGAGTAGTAATCTAGGTTGTTCATCCACCCTCCGTCAGATACTGCATTCTGGTTAAAAAGTGGTTGGTCACTCACTCTATACGCGGAAACATTGGCTTTGTAGTATGTAATACATAATCAGATAGACAGCGTCGAACTTCCCACGCCCTGATATGCTACGCTGATTGCTTGCAGAGTAAGCGAGACTCATTCATACCCTCAGTGGGAAGACATTCCTGTGGGAGCACGCGACGGCGTACAACGAGCCAGTAAGCCGTTCACTGTGTAGACATCCCATTCGCAGCCTCGTCTTGCACCACTACTTCGCTACCTAAAGCACATCATGGTATCACCGCAGCATTAGTATACGCCTAACTGCGGTGTCATTGTAATCTTTAGATTTTGTGTTCTACCCCATACCAACCTACGGGACTCGTAAAGCAATCACTTAATTGCCCCTACTAAACAATACTCAGTGTAACTTTTACACGTTGTTTTGAGGCGCATTGCGTGCTAGCCGTGGAACAACCACTAAGACAACTAATATATCAGCTGCATTACCATCTTATTGTCCACGTTGATACATCGCCCATCGCAATCGTAGGAAGCCAGAAAGATTTCTGCGCTGGTATCATTTCACCAGTGCATGTGTCTATGTCTTGCGGTACACATGTAATTTAGCGGTGTGACCGCAGTAACCCGTGTCCTACGCGCTTCAATGCGCCACCCGTATTGTGCCTAGTGTCCGGTGCGCGCCATGTGTTCACAGCATGCGATGGGTCGTATGGACCGGCGCCTGGGGTTTAGCTTAGTGACACGGATTGCTGGCCATGTCAGAATGTGAGTAGCCAGTGACCCTATTCCATAAGAGGCTTCGTTATAATGGTGTTATGAATCGCGCTCAAATTCCTTATCATACACTGACCCCGATTCCTCTTAGTCTGCTGTGGGTGACCTGAGATATTATCGTACTACCCCCATCCCCCGTCATATAATCCGTCACCGCCCGTGTGACAGGTCGCACACGAGCAACTTCGGGCTGTAGTGATTCCCCCTATACCCACGTGCCTTATCCATGCGTACAGCTCGCTTTGTCTACTATGCATTCGATATGTGATTGGCCGACAGCGCTTGGCTCCGGAACCAGCCACACGACGGTGCGCGCATGTCACAATCGCCTGACTCAACTTAGTTCATCGGAAGGAGTAATCAGTTAGCGTACCAGAAGAAGTTGATATCTGGTTAGTTTAAGTTGCTACCTGTATGGCCTAACGTGACTCGGAAATGGTATGGTATATACCCGTGTGTTTACAAATGTCAGTCTCATGGGCGCAGTAGCTATAACCGCCAGCCCCCTATGTAAAGTGCTAAACTCTATGAATCAACGTTTGGCGACCAGCATTCAGAAAGTAAAAAGTAACCTCTTTGTTCACATCTTTCTTGCTAACAGTAAAAATTGTTAGCACATGTGGTTTGTTTTCTATTACCAACATCTGAGATCCCCTTGAACAGTGTAAACTCAGCTAAGGTTTCTAACCTTTGAGATAAATGATTCCCTTGCATCCGTCTATCGGTCAACGATGTATGCTTCATTCCAAACTATGACCCAATCATACTTTTCCTGGTGGAGTGATTTGCATAATTCCATGTTGTCAAGAGAAAGGTGAATAACGCCGTTCAGCCACCTGAAGTGGTCTCGGATGTGAAACTGCAGAGCAGGCCATTGTAACCCGGATTACCATACCATGCCACACAGCAGCTGGTGCACTCAGTCAGTAAAAGATGCAATGATCTGACGTGTTTGGGACTTGTTGGAGTTTCCCTTTCACTGTACGACCTTAACTTATTTGGACAAGCTACAGCGCAGTTTCCGTGGAATGCTGGGGGCTATCTAAAACCATGTTAACTACTGATTCTTACTCCGCGTCTTCAATAAGCTTACTGCGCAGATTCACCACCAAACCTTGTCGCAAACCTTGGTTTCACAGCTTAATGGCTGAGCAGTAGAGAAGGCCTTCAGACAGGTCAACTCAAAAGCGTACATAGCAATGATAAAGGATAGGGTTAAATCTCTAAAACTAAATCGAATTGTGTAGCCAAAAATTTATTCACGGAAAACCTTGACTATACATACTATTTATGTTCGAGCACAAAAATAACTAAATCTAAGGACGACGTGATCATTCGAGATTAACAGATAGCAAAAACAGATAATTAATGCTGAGCATCACAAAACGGTTCTGCATGATTCCATGCTATTTGTTCCAGAGTAAAATGCAGCTCCCATAAGCAGTGAAACCTGCAAAACTCTCTTGCGTTAATCTACCCACTGCCGGAGTTGAGTACAACAAACTACCCATAATCACAGGTGCTGAGCTCAGTCAGCTCCTCAGGAAGGATCGCTAGGTTTGGTGTACACAGCGCGTCGTTGAGGTGGAGCAGCCAGCCTCATCAGGAATCTCACGGAAACTCCTCCAAATTATTCGCTCCCCGGGAGGCACAAGTCCAACAGTGAATGAGGTTTTGCGTGAAACTTATGGCGAATTAATTCACATTCCTCATCGTCATCTGGTACAATAGGTAGAGGAATTTGAAGATCAATTCGACTGGCCAGCAGTTCTACCGAGTCTATGTTCTGGGGTCCAAGTATCTCCCTGGTGCGTGGATGTTTCCTCATCGAATAAGGCTGAGAGTTCCAATGAGCCTCCCCTATTAAGGCGCCACAACTGACCTGGCCCAGATAAATTTCTTCCTGCCCTCGTCAAATATAGAGGTCCCGCTCTTAATCGCGAACTGACATCTCTCTTCCATCAGAGTTGGTCCACTGAAATTATTCCATCCGACTAGAAATTAACTAATGTTGTACCTGTTTACAAAAGAAGACCAGACCATTTGCCCCAAACATCGTGGCATCAGACTCATTTGTGTCGTATCCAATCTGATCGCTATTCTGCTCTTACGGTAGGTCAGTTGCCTAGCGAATGACACCTGCGTGAGCAAAAAGCTGGATTTCGCCCAGGTCGCAGTTACGTCGATCACATCTTTACGATCCGCGAGATACTTGAACATCGCCATGCCTTCAGTCTACCAACTATGGTTATATTCTTGGACATTTGAGCCGCGTTTGTCTCTGTTGTCAGAGTGGCTCTGTGTGACTGCTTATTGAACTGGGGAGTAACAGAGAAGTGCAGCAGAATTTTTTGTGTCAGTTACCATCAAACTTCGAACCGCGTGCAAGTATACGGGGAAATTTCGCCCTCTTTCATTAATACTAGCGATATTAGACGGGGTAGCCCAACATCTCCATTATTGGGTAACTACGCCATGGAAGACATCCTGGACACTGCCCTGAAAAACTCTGAGTCTAACGGCGTTGAAATTCTCCCTGGTGACCGCCTTCTGTACTTAGAGTACGCCGATGACATCGTTGTGATTTGCGAGTCCTCCCAAGCCGCCCAGCACGTGCTGCTTTAGACTGGAGAGATCCGCCTCCGAATTCGGGTTGAGCTTTGCCTCTTCCAACTTCAAGGTTCAGTTACATGAGTAGCCAAGTGTATGTCATTTTCAAAACCTTTCGCTGGAATTAGTTGACAAATTCATTTATCGTGCGAGTTTTATCTTAGATTGGCGGTTTGACAGATAAAATCTCCCTGTGTGTCTCCAAGGCTAGATTCGCTTTCACTAACCTTCGTCATATGTGGTTTCGTAGTGATCTCAGCCTCGCTCTTAAGGGAGGAGTCTATAATGCTAGTATGAGTGATTCTGCTGTACGGCTGGGAAACTTGGTCCGTTCGCTAAAGCGATGTTCAGAGGCTATCTGCCTTCGTTCACCTCTGCCTGCGAAACATTGCAAGTGTTCGATGGCAACGCCGCATCATTATTGAGGTAGTCCGTCCAAGAGTCTTCAGAGGTAACGAACTCCGGCGGGAGACTGATAGTATCATCTCCCTGCGGATGTTTCTCTTGTTTGGCCATGTTCTTCGTATGCCTACCCAGCGGCTACCACCACGAACCCTATTTGCGAGCACAGGCCTGGCTTAGAAGCAACGAATAGGAAAGCAATGTAAAACTTGGATCCAATGTGTTAAGGCGCAAACACTGAAGCTGGCTGTTGTCGGGCATTCCTGACTCCAGCGTTGGGGACCAAAGGACCCCGAGCATACCTGGTTGCAAACGCTGGAGGATATGGCCAAGGACCGCACGCATTGGCGCACTTGCTGTGAGACACTTTTAACCTAACAGTTGTTTTCCCTTTCATGCTATCCTTTTCTCGTCTTATATGCTGTGGCGCGCAGCCAATTACATTGTAATTGGTGTACTGTTGAATATATATATACCCAGCTTTTCGGTACACTCCCTGCAAGTGTGGTTTAAGAGACCTCCGGTAAATTTCAACTATGGTACAGCTATTAGGACGAATAGCAAATTAGCTGTCATAACGTAATTGGCTAACTTATCATGAATCAAAGGTAACGTTTGCACAAAACACAGTTTGACTTTATTAATGATTTGACTCACTCTCCGCCGAATAGTTGCATTCCGAGTAAAGCAAATATGAGGATAAACAGGAAGAGCAGGAACAGCAGAGAGAGGATGCTGCGCATTGAATTTAGCAAAGAAAGCACCAGATTGCGTAGCGAGGCCCAGTATCTACAATCGTGGAAAGGGCAGATATGCATAAGCTGAGTCATTAATGTAAACATGAGACGATTAAATTAAGATGGGATAACTGTTGTTGATAGACAGTTAAGAGACAAGATTTGTTTTACACTTGAATCTGATCGCGACTATAACAGGCTTACAAGTGACTCGTAAAAACAATGCGACCAACGGGTAAGCATTGGACTGGCCACCTGACCGTGTCGTAATTGGTGGTTATCCTTTTATTTGGATGCTGCCACATAATTTCGTGGAAATATTTCATAAAATTTTGTTGATGCATCCAAGCACAACACTGGCCAGATAGATGAACCACCAATCCTAAAAAGCACTAGACTGCCGTTTCGCTGTATTGAGGTCCGTCATTGGTGCGCATTCCCTTAGTCCTCTTCAAAGAACTTAGCAGCTGGCGCTAACTAAACAGCAGCTTATGTCACTAAGCCTGGGAAGATGATGAAAAACCCTCATAAATTGCTAGCTGAATGGGATGGTGTGTAACCTATAATTCAAGGATCGGACCATTTCATTGTATGTCACCTATTCATTTATCTTACTCCTAAAGTTCGCTCGCTCAAGAGTGGCCTAAGTAACCGCGCAGAGCATGCACATATGATTGATACAACTGCACCAGAAACTTTTATGCCCAGTAGGCCAAAGTGTATGCTATTTGAGACTCCAGCAACTAACACTATTATTGTGCAGTAGCTGGAGAAACAGTATCGGGAACTGTGAGATTTAAGGATCAGTTATCAAGAGCTATCGGCATGTAGGTCTATGACTGATAAAATTATTTGTCTCCCGCTATCATTTTCTAGCTTTGGCTAACGATGCTAATACGGGAATCGAAATTACCTGTTTTGACTAGATTGGTGCACACAGGCCAACCAGTAAGGACATTATAATCATAAAAGATGTAGCTTGTAAGAGTGTGACTCAGGAAACCGCACCTACAAGTACTTTGCTTGTTTTATTTATCTCAAGCAGAATATATACAATCAACTTCAAAGTTATGGTTTCTCCTTGAGTAATTGCAAGGCGCTGTAAGTGTACCTGCAAGAAGACGCAACGGCTTCCACCATCTAGCGATGGCAGTCTTGGATTTATCTGCCAAACCAAGCACGCGACTTGGTGAAGAGGAGTTATTCGGTTTTGTTACGAAATGGACATTAGTAGATATCTAACTCTCCCGTTAATCGGCTTCAATACTAGTCGATGCAAGAATCCGGATTCAGAAAAATTTTTGGTCCCACTCTTACTATGTTACTACCCAGCTAATAGGTGCGCTTTCTCAGTTGGTTAGCGGAAGCTTAAGTAGGATTCTTTCAAGTGGGACCTTACCAAACACTGTGTAGAAGTGGACGAAAATAATGTCCAAACTTCTACCGATGTCCATGTTTCCCTGATGATAAGCCGGTTGAAAATGCATAAATGTGTTCTATGGAACCCACGCTGTGCAGGGGAAATCAGATTCAGATTATCCACGTGACGCTGTACCGAAGGTTTCAGTAACCTGTCTATGACTTTACAAAGAACCGACACCACACAAATCAGGCGGTAGTTAGAAGGGTCTACTTGGTTTCCACCTTTTAAATTGACTGGATGAAACCAACTTCCAATCAGATGGAAGACAGCTAATTGTCAAGGAGAACCAAAAACTATGATTTCTACTCCCTACTTATGGCATAAGATCCCTACAATGGGCCATTAAGACACTTCTGCTAGCCCATTACGAGAATCGTGACCACGGTAATATGCGTTACCTCTTTGTGCAAATTATGGTGATTTAATTGTCAAATAACAACAAAGTAATAGATTATGTATATAAGCGGACTGTTAAATCACATTTAGCCAAGTAAATGTCTCCTTACTGAAGACGTTCCAGGTGAGTCTATGGCTGACGCTTTTAACATCTGGCAAACTTGCTTTCGCGACCAAATTAACCAGTCTTACATTCACCCGAAACACAGTATTGTAAGTGTCACTAACTTTGATTCTTGACGCGACTAGCCTTTGCTCGTGCTTACCTAGAGTTACACTTGCTTTGAGATGTTGGTGTGGTTGAGTTTCCCCTCGGATCTGAGGGAAAGGTATCCAAATGTCTGACCACCGATCTAGGCAGTTTCATCGATGAAACCTCCGGGAACTGACAGATGCAGCGTAGTAACATTAATTACTTACAAAAATTCATCCATTCACTTGTCAACCTCGTGGAAATAACACACACATAATGCTGCAGCTCTACATGTTATTTGGTCAGAGTACAAAGTTAGTCCGGAAATATATTTATTATTAGTTCAGAAAGAGGGAAGGAATAATGTTTAACGCAATTGATCTTGGTTGAATTAGAGTGGGTTAGCAGTTGTGTGAATAGATTAGGCTTCCCGACGAAAAACAAACAACAACTTATCCCTGGTTAATAAATCTCGCTTTGCAAAACACCTTGAACTTTCTAGTTTACGTTTCGAAAATGTTAACGGTTACTGCCAACAATGACAAATGTCGGATTTATCATTATTAGGTCACGTTACACATTAGCTCCGTTCTCCTCTTGGTTTCGGAACACGAACAATTAGCTGATGGTAAATCCAACCTTTTCTCACCAATGGCGTCTCACGATGATACTAAGTTATGAAGTGCAGGTAGTTGAGTGCGTCATCCATCGATCTTTAGAATATGATTAGCATCGGCTCGGAATCGACAGATTTAGGAAGTGATTTTCAGCGATGACGTGCACGAGATAGAAAGCATTTTTTCCGACATGTCAGACAGCTGTATCGTTTGGCTAATTTCAAGGGATTATCTTGCAGCTTGATGCTGCTACTGAGTTGTAGCAATGAGCGGCAAGAACATAAGATCACCGTCTGGTCGCCTCGTAATCGAGGATATCGTGCGCTGAACACTGCCAAGTGTTGCATCCTGTGTTCGTGTGAAAGAGTACGTCCTTCAGTGACGTTCTTGTAAGCTAGACGAGGAGACCGATACCAATCAGCTAGCACATGCTGCCAAGCGTCAACCGTATAGTCGAGGTAAGATGAACATACCCGCTGAGCATTTGTCAAAACACAATAAGTTCTGTGCGTCCGAACGTTCGCTTCAATAGGTCGGTGTGTTAATTTCCAAACATTGATACCTTTTCAGATTGCTTGGAATAACCAATGTCATATTGAATCAGTACCCAGGTCACATTTGACCGACGACCGCTGCAATACATGGGTTCTTCGCCTTTAGAAATAGATGTTCTGGTATTGATTGAATATGTAAGTGGAGACTGCATCACTTTGAAATGAACATGGATGGCTTACGTCGTTGGGACCAAAGCTGAAACAGCTGTGTCAGCTCTCGGTCACACCCACGCATACGTTCCCTCCATTGGTATGAATTGTCTAATTGTTAGCTGCAAATGATGTAGAGCGATTGGAGTTGAAGACTGTCGTCGCCACGACGATAAACTGCAAGTAAGACGGTGCAACCGAGTTGATTCCCTGTATCGTTTTGTTCTAGAAGAGCGGTTATCTTAACAGACCTAGGTCCGCACTAGTAACTCGGGCGGTGGTTAAGTGCAACCGAATCTCGGTCACAAGTAACATGCTTGAATCCACAGTTGTATTGTGTTCCTTGGTACCGGCAAGATCAGCTGGTCACCTCATGCGAACTGCTTAGGATCGACTAAACGTTTTGCCATGGTATAAATGCGAATATTTCAAAGACGAGACTCGTATGGATAACCTCAATACTGGTAGACTATGGATGATCACAGGCGCGTTGTTCCTGTTACGTCAAGTGTACACCTTCATTATCAGCGGTGTTAGAGTCAGCTTTTATGGTGGATAACTCACCTTTCTACTTGTGTCACAGCTTGTTCGGTGCTTTCGTACATCCCTGCATGGACGTGTTACTCAGCTTCGTGCATAAGGACCAATACCATGGAGTCAAACCTGGTTAAGAGCTATGCTAGGACCTTCGCACTGCGTCGCTGACCCGCTGAAGGTTGTACTTAATGGTAGCGCGTGACGCCCCCAGCATGGGTATGTATGGAGTTCGTGTTAATAGGAAGCAACGAAAAATATGTACACCAAAAGATGCGCAATTCTTGCTACAGTCTGTCATTGTATGCCAACTGCGAGGGTGAATCCTGTTTCACCATGGTAAGGCGTACCAGGCTGATTACGAGAGTAGATGCAGTGCCTATGTGCAGTACCTGAAGCATGCTGGTTATTTGGATTCCCAAAAGTGAAAAGAGAATCCGAATCCAATAAATGCAGTAACACGTTCTATACCTCGAGTTCAACTCAACCGCATCCATTACCAGATACTTGGCCTAGTTTAGCGGATGTTCACGGGTGAAGTTTTATGGGGACAACGCTTGCAACAACAGATTCTCAGACTCAGCTCAAAAGCATTCATAAGGAAGCTGGGCTGCGCGCGAAAACCCAACTGATCTGTTGTGGACGTTTAAACAACTTTCGCCTTTTCTTCACCCTTATCTAGGTTCGAAGGTTTACTGATGTTCGGGTCGCTGATGTATGAATTCAGTGTCCGCTGCAATCCTTAAGTCGCACAGTCGCGTCTGGAATCGGTTTGGCTGTGAAACCTGTTTGCAGACATTCAGGAAAGAAGTCGATTTACAACACAATGCATCAAATGTTTTGCTGGTCAGGATTTATAGTCTGGATTTGACTGACGAACAGTACTCAAGCCCTAAAGGAGTGACCTAAAACTGTGGCCAATTTCGAAGCAACCACAAGCTGAGCTTGAATAAACTGATCAAGTCACGTCGAGCTCAAAACGACGCCCAAGATTTCGGCAAAGGATGAAGATAATCTGTGAAAACGGGCACACACAGAAGGCGAACAAACTAAAACTTCTGCGCCCGTCTAGTGCCAGTTCGTTAGAATTTCTTAGCGAACTCGAGAAAATCAAGAGTAATACAAGTTAGAAAATGTGATAGAAAAGTGCTACCCAACCTAAAGCCGAAGGAACTCCTAAACCGTAGCACTTTTGTAAAAATAAATAACAAATAATGTACCAGCTGTACGCCGTAACGGCGCTTCGCTGCCGCGCGACCACCACCAGTCGCGCGCGGGCAGAGTATACCGCGAGGACGCCCACTCCTACGCGGATTCGAACCGGTGACCTTGTGGTTGCAAAGCAAACATGTTGACCATTCGGCCACCAGCCGACAGCAGTTTTGTGGGAACAACATTAATCTGTTAATCTATGAGTAACTGATTCCGATGGATTGGAAAAGTTACTATAAAGAGATTTCAGCATTTAGTTTGGGATCACTCATCCCATAACACTTCCGCGGTCGGTACACCCCATGGTGCATGGACAGCCCCGTTCACCAAGCAAGATTATGAACATGAGCTTACACCCCACTGTTAAAGAAAGGCCGGACTATGGTCAAGTTTACAAACTAAGGCTCTGGCCATATTGTGTTTCCCGACTAAATACGACAATTCTGAAGGTCATTAACCGTTGTGTCAAGCATTGGCTGCCAAGCTCCGGGGACTTACAGGTAGAAGCATCGAATGATATCACCGTTTTAGGTTTCAATTATAGCCCAGCTATATATACTTGATATGTGTCAACAAGTGCAGTGTTTTAAGTGGACAACCGACGTCTCATTCGCACGCGGTCCTAGTGATCGAATTGGCTAGAATTCACCTCAGCGTCAATCGCAATCTACATTGTGAATGTGCCTCTATCCACCGAGGCAATTAATGCTTCAACATGAACCCTTCAGTGATACGATTCTGGATAATGATAGTGATCGCCTTGTCACGTAAGCTTCCGCTCAAACCTCTTCAGCACATTATTCAGGTAAACACGTTGAAGCTGTGTGAGCGTAGCAACTGTTCAAAGGGTACCTTAATGATGCTGGATAAGACAACAGATGGACTATAACCCAACGTAACTATGTTTAGAGATTTAATTGAAGAGATGAATGGGGAGATGCACAGTAGACTTTGGCTTAACCGACACCTGGATTAACTACCAATGAACAAAGCAGCCTAAGCTTCGATGACTATTAGTGATATGTCGTTTGAGTAGCTCTCAAATGTTCAGTTTATAGGAACGAAAAGCACTATGTTCGAGAAACTAGTTAGTATTTGGTTACAGACGTGACGGCTCTACAGTGAACGAATTCCCAATGTTTTCTCAACGTCACGCCGGCAACATGGAAGTTTGCACACATTATTCATATCGCTTTGGCAATCCGCAAACCCTTGCATCGTGTCTACATATTGATTACGGTCATTGTTCGTTTAGTCTAGCTAACGGGGAGTGACCATTACCTTGTGACTTTGAAAATTCGTAACAGTCGAACAGCCCGCAAAACACTGAGACCAAAGGAGGAATCAGGGTGAAATATTCCCCACAGGATTTCAAATAGGCTGCCGATGATAACCTGAAAGAAGAATTGAATTCCAGTGAGATAGTGAATGGGATGAAGGATATGATTAAATAAGCAAGTGGAAGTACCAGCTCATATATATATATATATATATATATATATATATATATACATAGCAACAGTCTACGGATAGACAAGAGCCATCAGAAACCACGGGACTCCAAAGAAGATACAGAAATAGTAAAAGAGAACATCACACAATACACAAAAGTCCATGGTTTCGTCAGAGGGCGTGATATCACCCGGTTGCCCAAGCTGAAGTAGGGTGTTGACTTAGGGAACACCACCCCGAGCCTTTGGCTGAATAGCCTGCCCCCAAGGCAGCGGAGCGAATTCAGGGAATCGCGCCCATTGGGATCCGGTGACTGATTGCTCAGTTCATACGCCTTTCATTTGTTTCTTTGTCAAACAGGGGCCCAATGCTCCTCAGAATTACAGCAAAATGTTGCTGGAATACAATGTTTCGCCAAGATGGAGCAAAGGGTAGTGAGTTTATTAAGCGGCGAGTCACATCCGCCACTTCACAGTGTTGTTATACTGACATATGTGGCTTTTTATAGGGAGAAGGCTTGCCAGGCGAAAGTCCACCACGTCCTGAAATACTGCCGCCGAACCATTTGCTGGAACGGGTTAAAACCGAAACACCCAGCTGGCACCACTAGGAGGTTGTTCGGCAAGCCAGCACCAGCTTACATTGTGTTCGTTCAAACTGAACATTGGAGTTTAGCGGTAAGTAAAACAACAGGGGCTCTCATATGTTCTGCACTATGTGGCCGTTACCGCGTTGGGTATGATAGGCTTCAGGCCACGTCTGAACCAAGTGATGAAGTCGTTAAATCGACGATACGCGCCTAGCTTACCGGGGTACTGCGACTGATGCGAACGTAGTGCAGCCATGATGGATGGCAAGCCTTCCACATCTCTGCCCCTTACCTATGAGTGCGAAGGTGGAGTAGTGGCGACATTGGTTCTACTACAAAGTCATGTGGGGCTCCGTCATGTGGCGTACTTTATCGATTACTTACGCTGATTGAGTCAAGTGGCACGAATCAGGACTGCAGAACGAAATGCGTGCGAAACACTGCGATCATCACTGGCGATTTATAGTGAATCGGAGCTGATGTTGGTGGGCATGCAGCCATGCCATTTCGCACCATTTTCCATACCGATTTTGGGTTAGACGAACCATTGTTTGAGGCCAAACGCAATAGAGCAAGAAGATCAAGATTTAGTGTCTGCCATTATATGGGCAAATGCTGCATTTGGGCAACGCACCGCGATTCGGGTTCCTTAGGCATTTCGAACAGCTGTGCGTAGAATTCATTCCCTGGTCCAGTTTGACTAAACTGAAGCAGCTGAATCTTCGTCACCCTACCGATGTGGAGCTTAGATATACCGTGAAAGTAATTTTGATGACGTCATCATCACATGCAATCAGTATCGATGACTTAAAGCTTTACTAACCATAGGTAGAGGCCTTCGGGTCTTCATCAAGGGCGAACATATTAGCTGTCTTTTTCCCCTGCTGAAAAAGTCACCCAAAGTTTTTTACCGCATACGATAAAACAATGTCGTCGCTTGCCTATTTTTGACGCGGTCATCATTAGACGGCCAACGGAACACCTCGCGACGCAATTCACTATAAATTGATTCCTCAACCTTCACCTTAGTTGTGCACGAATGCGGCTTTGTGAAGTGACTTTTACGTAGACAAAAAGATCGTGCGGATGCTGATTCGGCGTCGAAGCACAAGTCTACGGATGACCGCTAGATTTCACCAGTCGCTCACGTGACTGCTCAATTGCCTGTCCGCGCTGCCGATTCGGTTCTGTGCTGTAGTGCAGTGCGTACGTATTTCTTATGTCCCGCCTAATAGGTCACAACACGAAGCTACTAATGGCCAATGGAACATTTTTGTATTGCGTATAGCACCTATGGTGCTAGGTATCTTGGACATATGACCATGTGTTCTTCCAAAAGCATCGCTGAACGTTTTCCTGCGTCACTATGAAAGGGCACCGTAAAATCCATCAACAATTCCATTTTATAACACTTGCTTGATACTGGACATCAAGTCCAAATGAACCAGTTGTTTAAAGTCGTTTATACTATCCCTAAACGCTACCCAAAACAGCTTAAGAAACATCTGTTGACCATTACTGAAGTCATTGCGATCAAGATTTTGAAACCAGAGCTGTGCAAACAGCGCACACTGCTACAGGCTCCGAACTTGCCTTGGCCTTAAAACTTGACATATGACCTGCTTTTATCACGTGCTTCCTAATGCGACAGTCTCATTGATCAAACCATTGATTTAGTTTTCAAATTTCCTGGTTAACTAGTTAGTTGCTTTCTGTACAAGCCTCTACGCGCATTATTCCCTCCAATGTTTTGATTCATAAGTGTATACGCCCGATGAGAGTCATCGAAAAGAATATTCTTCGCGCATTTGCTCACTTCGCATCGATAACTGTCCAGAAACTTTCATAGTTGACCACCGGGGACCCCTCAAGTAAAATCTGGCATAGCAAGCGACAAACAGAAAGACCTTTTCGTCCCTCCTATTGTAATGGGATCAAATTGCTGACGATGTTATTCACAAGCTAAGGAGTACTTTAGCGCACACCTCCACGCATTCCCGAATGTGCGTCATCCAAGCCCCAAGACGGATTGTCTTCCATATGCCTCAATGTAACTCACCAGTGTGTTCGAACCTTCTCGTTATATAACAATTGGCCCGTGATTGAGGTGACACTTACATATACAGGGAGGTGGATCAATACTTTCAAAAATACTTAGAGGAGCCACTGTTTAATAAGAGTGGAGCGAAACAACTGGTGAACAGAAATCCCTTTCATCTGTCATTGGTCGGTAAGCGCTCAGGCTATCCGACACCGCCGTTGACTGCTTATGATGGAAGCCGTGATGCTGAGGGCCAGTTTTGTCCTCTGCATGAACATAGCATTTATGACGGTGGATAATGAGCCACATTAGTTGGCCGCTGGAATATAGCCGTGGTTCTCTTGCATCGAGCAATATCATAAGTAAGATCATGAGATCAAATCCCACGGAAGCATAATGATAACCATTTCCAATACAGCGAAAATGTAGTCCTGCCCTTCTACGGATATGGGGCAGTCGCCTGGCTGTATCGTCATAAAACTTTGACAGGTGCTCACTATGCGAACGTGGTCATCTCATTCTAGATATCACAGCAGAACAGGTATGTAACAGCCATAGCAGCCCACATTGTCGACACAGGTCACAACCCTAGGCCAGTCGAAGAATTCCAAAGCATCTATACCGCCCCGGATAGTCGTTCGAAGTACATGCGCAGACGGATACTGGAAGCCGCTGAAGCTATAGCAATTCGGTTGTACGAACCAAAGTTGTGCACTCTGAAGCGATTTGTTCAAGCCTTACAACTGCCCTGACCCGATCGAGTAGTGATTTTTACTCAGTTAGATTGCGTGAAGACTCCGACATTGACTTGATTATTGGCGGTAGTTGACCTCATGTAAACTGACTTTACTCCGTTATAACGACTCAGTAGTCTGTCTGATCGAGGGAATTGGTATATACTTGTACTAGCCTGATGAATAACTATTGAAAACATATGTTCACTAACATCGACTTTTAAATTCGAACCTGTTGCCATTTTGTTAAGCCCTCCTGTCAGCAGTGGCCCATCAGGTCGACAAACATAAAGGGGCTCATCCTATTCGATCATCGCTGTCTTCGTAACTTAGCTCACGTCTGGTGGGAGCACCGCGTGAGCAAACAGCGTGTTCGGCTTCGCGTATCTGGTGCAAGAAGAGCGAGTGAACCACTCAGCACCATTATATCACGCACCAGCCTCCGGTGGCTGGGCCACGTGTTGCGCATGCCAGCACCCCGAATTCCGCGACGTGCATTGTTTGCGCGTTGTGGCTGTGGTTGGAAGAGGAGGAGGGGACGCCAACCGATGACTTGGTCGAGAGCGATGAAAACCCTCACTTCGAAGTTGGCCTCGGTAAGTGCATCCCGACTGCCTGGCTGGGGTCCTAAGGACGGTGAACACGTTTGGTTGGACACAGTTGCTGATATGGCTTGGAGCCGGCCCCAATGGTGTTTGTGTTGTGAGTTCCTTTGTCCATCCCCCTCCTCTTTAGCATATCCCTCCAAGCGCGATCTCACTCGTTAGGCATAATATGACTCGCCTTTTACGGCACAATAGCCAACTGTTAGCTCACCAGAACGATGTCCATCCGTTACGGGGGACTCAGCCGGAGTGCCACTAGTTCTTTTCCTTTCCTTGTCTTTTGTATTGCGGCACAATAGCTGAGGTGTTTTCCACCTGCAGCTAACGTGTATAATGACGATGATGATGACTGTCAGCAGCTAGTCACCCGATATTGTGTGCATCGACCGGCGAATGAGAAAGCGAATGTTTGACAAATAGCGAGTAATGTCTGCACAGTGTCTTAAAGTGGTCAGTGAGAGGGCACAGTGGTAGTTTCGTTTCGGTGATTTCGTAACAGACGCTGAAATCAGACGAATCCTCGGTTAAGCACTATTGGAGTTCATGCCTTCTTACGGTGCTTACGGCACTACTTTACCCTCATTGGTTATTCATTGTATTCTGTATGGCATTCAGTGCAAGAGTAATATTTTCACTAGATTCCGAACCTTAAACACCTAACGCTGCAGACAACCCTGAAAGCATTTAAACAAAGACAGAGTACACTTACAACACAATCGAAGATGTTGAAAGTCGATTCAAAGTAAATCCGGATTTTCAACCCATACATTTTCAAAACCATTTCCGTGATGAAGAGACCGAGGAAGACGAATTCTGCGTAATCTGAAACCATACATGGAAATAGATTAAATGCAAAATAACCGGCAGTGGACTGTGTGCTGCTTGATCTTTGCAGTATTTAAAGAAACCCATAAAGAAAATAAAAAGTCAATGTCAGCGAACATATGTTTTTGATAATACTTCATCAGGCTAGTACAAGTATATACCAATAACACCGATTAGATAGACCACTAAGTCGTTAAAACGGGGTGAAATCAGTTTACATGAGATCAACTACCGCGAATAATCAGGTCGATATCGGAGTATTCACAAGATCCAACTGAGTAAAAATCACTACTCGATCGAGCCAGGGCATTTGTAAGGCTTGAACGAATCGCTTCTGAGTACACAACTTTGGTTCGTACAACCGGATTGCCATACCTTCAGTGGCTTCTAGTATCTGTCTGCGCATACACTTCGAGCCATTATCCGGGGCCTAGTAAATAATTTGGAATGCTTCGACTGCCATAGTTTTGTGACCTCTGTTGGCAAGGTGGGCCGCTATGGCTGAGTTACATGCCCTTCTTCATCCGGTAGCTAGCCAAGCCTGACAGTGTTCACTCGGAGAGACACTTAGTCGTCTGACTAATGTATCCTAAACCACAGGAACAGGTCAAACAAGAGATACGCACAGAGTTGTCGTGGACTGGTCTACTATCCTTGAGACTGAGCTTCACCATCCTTTTGCTGGTAAAGTGGGTGTATGATTTTGCTGCTAGATCGTCCGTCTAAGAATTTCGGCAGCGATTTCCCCTTTGTAAGGGAGTCGCAAGAAAATGGCTTTCCTGCTAGCTGTTCAAACAACCGGTGGGCCCATACTCTTCTTCATGTGCGCTTTTATGAATTTATCTGGATAACAATTTTCCCGCAGCAACGAGCCTATTCCCTGTAGTTTAAATGCAAGTGTATCATGCGAACAGATTATTCTGCTCTACTGACTAGATTATGAATTAAATTATTTTTCAGCCTAAGTGGCACGAAGCTGTGGAAGTTTGTGTACTGGCCGCTCCACAGGCTTTTTCTATATATGTGGTGCTATAATATCCCGCTATCGAGTCTCTTTAGGCCCACGTCCAGTAAGTGGAAACAGCCATTTTCCTCTACCTCCGAGGTTAAGTGCATTGGATTATGTTCTCGGTTTTAAGTGTTGATAATATCTGCAATATTCTAGGAGGACAGAATTTGTATAGTAAAGATTATGCGTGTTGGGGGCTATAATCCACCAGGCTGATGGCATTCAAGTGATTCTACTTTGTCTGTTCCTTTTAGGAGCGTCGTGCGATCAGTCCAAACCCACATGTTTTTCATGCTACGGCGTCCATTAAAGCCTATAACGAATTTGTTAAAGGGTTCGGGAACCCGGTGGGCTGTTGCTGCAGAGTAAACTTTGGGTCTTTTTTATCACGAAAGTTTGCAATCCAAGTGAGTGTATAAATTGTTCCGGGATGAACGAACTTCTTACTTTATCGCCCAATCCGGACAGAATCATTAAATATACCTTGGGCCTGTAACTGCGGCCAATGTCAAAGGCCTGGAGGATGCTTAGTGAGAAGAACGTGAGAGACAGAATAATAAATCTATTGTCGTGTGCCATACTAAACACTTTTCAATCCACTTATGAACTGCATCACATATTGTGGCGGACTAAAAGCAGGCACTACTGCGACAAATAGCAGTAGTGCGAAAGTGCCAGTTTGCAAAACGGCAAGCAACCAACAGCAGCCCGTAATGACACTCCCTAAAGAAAGAAACAGTCTGAAGCCAAGTTGTATGCGCGCGAGGAATAGATGCATGGGCAGTGCAAACCAGATGACCACTAAACACAGAAAGCAATCCGTGCAATGCAACCATCTACAGGGGGTACGAAGATGAGTAGATGTTCCTTCGGTCAAAACCGGTGAAGCTATTGTATGCTATGAAACGACAACTATCTCGGCATGCATCTAGGTTTTTTAGAATACAATGCTGTTTCCCACCGCCAAGCGAGACCCTGGGAGCGGGGGTACGTTTCTCGAATACTAGTCATATGCACACTGCTGCGAAAGAACATCGGCATAGTGGGTCACCGAATGATGGACAGGTCTTGAACATCAGTTCAATCCTCGAGATCTACGCGTGGTGGTTCAACTGTGCGTAGCGAGCCAGTGGTTCGGATGAAACGTGGTGCTCGTTTAGCAGATTTACTGCGTCCGGGGTGCATAGAGTGAACTGGTGAATATAGCGCTTATGATTAGGGAACTCAACAAATGGCTTTTCAAATCAAGTAACAAATCGAATCAATCAGCCGGTTCCTTTTTCACGTCAAAGTAAAACCCTTACTCTGGTGAAATGGTTTATTGTGCTCCGTCCACCTTGAAGGAGCCGATCACATCAGGCTAATATCTACAATGGTAAATCTTCATTTAAAGCAGTTGAACTAACAAAACAGCTTAAATAATTTTACTATGTGCAGTACGAGTAAAATGTTTGTCTTTGACTTCCGTGGTTCTTGCCACACTATCGATGCTCATTACTTCAAATCAGGTTCACTTGGCAGCATCAAGTGCAAAACTAAAGAACATTATTTTCGGCTACTTCATGGGTAATGCCGAGACTATGCAAAGTGCGTGCATCTTACAGTGATCGTCCTCTCGATACACAATTCGAACAAAATGTCTTTGACAGAAAGCTGAACGCAAGCCGATAGTAAAAATAGGAAGGAGGTATCTTTCATTCTTACGTTGAACAGATATGAAAGGTGTTGTAAGGTTCATCACCATTAATTGCACTTCGGTGCTATAGTACCCGTTGAAATATAATAATCATTTTATGGTGGCACCATTGCATGTAACATAAAATCACTCAAGCAACTTGCGCAGCCACTTGTAAGACATCTACAAATCCCATTAAATCGAGTCAAAGGTAATTGAGAAAAGTCATCTGGATATCTACGTGCTATGCTCATATCTCAAGGCTCTTTGGTATCAGCTAATGGAAAAATATTGGTTTTTCCAATGATATACTTGGTACCATGAATCCACTCAAATGCACAAGAAGGATTGAAGGAGCCTTGGCGCGCATGTTGTTATTATCCATGACAACACAGAGTCAAAATGATCAGTAGCTGCTCCAGTGTGACTTCGGTAGGGGACATCAGTGGGTAGCCAGACACCTATTGTAGTTCACCGTGGACAACTTCGATCGGCTTCTCGAAAGGCACCATAGCAAGAGGCCTTACGTTGGCGGGAAATTCCGAAGAACTTATCCTCAGCGTAACGATTCCTGTGGACTTGTGTTATTGATCATGTATTGGAAGCAGGTGTCGAACAAGTTGAAGGCCTATAAATATCATGACTTTTTCAATCACCATTTTCGTCGTCACATCGAACGAAGGTCTCAAGTATGATCACCATGCAAAACACAACCTTACTGCTGAATTCTCTTCAACATTGGGCCACCCAGCTCCTTACTGGCAAATATCTTCTTCCAAACCAGCGAAGGGTGAAATTCTTGGGGACAATCAACAAATGGAATTGCTTGTTTTGAGGTAAACTACTATTGAATTTTCTAATTCCACACAATCCAAATCGCTTGTGACACTATTTAATGAATGTCGGTAGTTGCACAACATTACGAATCTCCTCACCAATCCGCTAGAGCAGCACTATTATCAGAACTATTGCGGAAATTTCCATCCTAATTATGCAGACCAACCTTGTGAAGGCACGTTCGGAATCAAGCTGCGCCAGTCCAAAAATATTATGTTTAAAAGGCGACTTGCCGATGCACTTGACCAACTACATTCGTCCGCAAGGAGTCACGCCTAATTTCGATTTTCAAGTAAAGATTCCTAGTCTAAATCTCCTGTACACATTTGTGTTTAGAAACAAGAAGGACAGAGGAGTTCAACTAGCTGGTTTCTTCTCACAAATTATGTCATCTGGTATCCCGAATTACTTTCAAAAATCCTGCCAGATAATTCAACCGCGCTCAAAACAAAGAAACTAAGTTACTTTTGATAAATCGCTATTCACCGTTAACTTTAATAATTGGGGTGTTACATGTCGGCAACACTAAGCTGCTTTGTGGACTTTCAAATGTCGATTACGGCACCCACTAATTACGGACAGTGAAACGGTAGAGAATATGAATATGTTTTTCAGCGAAAACCATTTCCAAGGATTGCCACATGGTGCCTCACACAGGGCGTCCACCAGCCCCGGGGTGCTTGAGCGAAAACTGATGAAAGGTAGGAAATCCTCCAAATCCTCAACCCCGCTGCACGTTAAGTCGGCTAGAATAACAGACACTACAGTATATTTTCTGTGTGCGTACCATCCGTAGTACATTTGCAGTTTGGCTCACATCTGGTGGGAACACCGCGTGAGTAAGGAGCGTGCTCGACGCCTTGTTTAAGGCACAGGAAAAGGAACTGTACCGCTCAGCATCGTCATTTCACTCACCAGGCTCCGATGGCTGGGCCACGTGTTGCTCAAGCTAGCCCACCGACTCCCTCGACGTGAGTTGTTTGCTCACCGGGAATGTGGGTGGAAGAAGAGGAGAGGTGGCCAAGCGATGACTTGGTCCAGAGGAATGAAGGCCCTCATTTCGGAGCTGGCCTCAGTTGGAGCTTCACGGCTCCCTGGTTGGGGTCCAAAAGACGATGAACGCGTTTGGCTGGATACACTTGTTGACACGGCTAGGAGCCGACTTCAGTGGAGTTCGTGTTGTGGGTTTCTTTGTTCCACCCATCCCTTTTAGCCTCCCCCTCCATCTACGATCTTATTTCGTAGGGTAAAACGTAATTTAATTTTTGTTTTTGCCTAGTAGCCGGCTAGTAGCTTACCGGAACGATGCGTATCCGTTGCTGGTAGCTCAGCTGGCATTCAACTGTCGCATTTAGTTTTCCTTTATGTATTGTATGTATGTATGTATTTCCTTTATGTATTGTGGTACAATAGTGGAGGTGTTTTACCATCTCTAGCTGACATGTATAATGATGATGATGACATTTGCTCTACATG